ATGACAAAATTAGCTTGTGTGGCTCCTGCCTGTGGAAACCAAAACTAGTTTCCCATTTCACAGCTATACAGTTGTTTTACTGTTCTTCAAGGGGTTATACTACTCCTTCAGCATTGTATAACAGAGTATTAGGCATTACATATGACAGTACAGTTCTTGGACTGCCTCAGATTTTCAGTCCCTAAAATTGGGTTCTGCACCACTCATCTCAAATGACTAATCCACAAAACTAAAGCATTGGTTTCTCTCTCAACTGGACATGAATGGATGGGTCATGCAGAATTCCATGTCCTCCAATTAAGAAATCCCAGTGGCACAGACAGGAAGGGAAAGTCAGAAAAAAAAATGCTTTTTCAACTGATGCTCATTGGGCATCTCCAAAGATGCTGCATCATAAATCAGAGTGATAGCATCTGGGGAAATCTCTTCTCTTACAATTTAGAAAAAAAAAAAAAAGGATTTATATACCCCATCCAAGGACCCTTTTCACAGCCTGCAAGATGAAGTAACACCAAACACTGCAACAATATCTGATGGTTCAGCAAGGCTGTATAGGAGAAGTTTGAAGAGTGGCTTGATTGTCTTTGATATATCTCTCTAACAACCATTTATTACTCATCAGGATTCACAATTAGGTCCAAACAAATCTAAAAAGTCAACTGGATTTTTTTTTGTTTGTTTAGTCTTAAAGAGCTAAAGTGTAAACTTAAAAAGAAGTTACAGTCAAAATCATAAAAATCAGCAATCTAACTGAGTACAGTGCCTCTCCTAATTTCAGCTATACCATATCCATTATGGATTTGTCATTATGATGCAGAAATTGAGTAAGCATAGCCTGCCCTTAGAATTAGAAACATATTGATTTTCCCTTTTTACATTTGCTGGAAGATGCATATTCCAGATGGTTTTGAAACTAGTCAAATATAAGTTCTAGTTTCTTTTTAATATGCCCTCCTCGTCTAGTTTTCCATAGTACATCCGCCTATTATTTCACTGCTGCATTTTTCACTAAACCACTGGGATGCATTTTTACCTTTGTACCACCTGTCGATATGATCTTAAGATTTTTTTCCTTCCGCTCTGAATATCATCTCCAGCTTTAGTTTAGTGCCATCTGTTATACATCTCAGGACTCCTGTGCAGCAGCAGCAGCCGCCACCCTTCTCTTCATAGAGTGATCATTTGGTTATATGAAAATCCCCTACTGAGTTTGTGTAATGCTTTCCAAATTATACAACCACAAACTACAGTTAATGTTTCTCCACTGACTATTTTACTTACATTTCTTAAACCTGTCTTATTTGCATTACGAGTTTAAGAGTGCTAGATAGAATCAAATCTCTCTTCCTGCTGATTTGGAAGTGAAAAAATATCAGGAAGAGAAGGGGGAGAGGGCAAGCTAAATTTTCTACATTAATGGCACTTTATTCAGCAATTGGCACCTTTCTGGTAAGCCCCGTCCTTGCCTCCTCAATATTTATGGTTGGTAACAACCATAAGCTGTTGTCACAAACTATAGAGTGGCTGTAGATCTGCTGAACATGGAGAAAGATGACCAAATGCTTTTTCCCTTCTATGCCCATGGGAAAAACAACCCACACACTGCATGAACTTGACTTGGACCAGTTTGAAAGGAAACCACCCATTCTAGCCATCTTTTAATAGTAAAAAAGGAAGCTTCTCTCAAGCCACCAGAACCTTAAAACAGAACCACTTCACATGCAACCACTGAGGCTAGGTACAGACATTCAAACAGCCCAAGGTGGATTCGATCCAAGTTACAGGGTTTTCTGTAACTGGTATAGATAGTTTAAAATTGGTAGTGGACAGAATATACATTTGCCCTTGGGCGGGGTGGAAAAACAAATCTTAGACCAGGTTCCACCATTTGTAAAACCAATCTGTGTGCGCCAAACTTCTGTCCTGTTACAGAAGCAATCAGAAATCTATTTATACCAATAATAGAACAGAAGTTTGGTACACAAAACTGGTCTATACCCATAAAAGCATAATGTCTGTACTTGGCCTGAATGTTTTGCTTTTCTTTCTTCCCAGAGTCACACCCTTCATATTCACCTAAAACACCAAAGAAGAGAGACTAGGCTCAGCAAAACTGAAGAAGGGAAAAGCATGCATAATGGTACTGCACAATTCTAAGTGGGCTAAGAGCCAAAAAGACATCCCCAAACGGTTCAAACCAACTTAAAAGCTGCTTTGGATTACTAGGACTGACAACTGGTAGGAAACGATGCACTCTATTCAATCACCAACACATTCCCTTTGTAAAGTGGGTCCACTCTAAAAGGGAGTTTTCAAGTGCCCCATGGAGTAGCTTTACCATAGCTTTATGCTGTTGAGGTAACGCAAAAGCAACCACAGACAGGGTGAAGAATCTGGTCCCACAGGAGAGGCAAGGATACATCTAGGACAGTAGGTTCTCTTTAAATCCGAGATGTTGTTGTGCATATACAAAATAAGAACATTTCCCAATCCACAGTTCAGTGACATACAGCGTGTATACTTACCAGACCATTTTGCACTGCCACTGAATTGGGAGAGTTTCCAGCACAAGGCACATCACTGTGGCCTGATGACCCATGCATGGATGCAATTTTATTCTCATTCAGCTGTTTATTTAGCCAGGAAATTACTACAAGGAACAGCAAAAGTATTCATAAAATGCATGTTCAGCTCTATCTAATAAGAACTCTATTTCTGATTTGTCTCAGAAATAAAAAAGTGAAGTCAAGTATGTCAGAGTAACTGAGCAATACCACATGACAAGAAATTCATTAATTACTTTGAGGCCAATGCCAGCTGTGATAATTTCAAAATAAAATGGCATTACAGTAATTTCAGGGTAAGTGGGCTCCCAGGATAATAGTAATTAAATGTAGTTGGTCAAAAAAAATCTGTATTACACACATGCATACAAAGTATTCATGAATGTGAAAATCTAAATCCAGGCTGATTCAAAAGATGTCAATTAAATTGGAATCTTTCATGCAGGGTAGCAAGTAGTCAACTCCCACTGAAATCAAGTGTTCTATATTTCCCAGTAGCAGTGTCTTCAATGAAGCTGGGAGTGATCAGTGAAGCTCATTATGAAGGTGTCTTGTTTTACTAGGTTTTATTAACTGTAAGGGTCTTACTATACTTTTCTTTCCACAAATATTTACTCTTAAAACCTTCAAGTTAAAGGTTTTGTAGTAGATTCTGGTCTTTGGTTTCAATGCAAGTCTAGAACAGCTCCACTAGCATAACAAAACTACCAAAGTAATTCATGTACAGACATGCACATAAATTCAACATCTACCTTTTCCAGTTTTAAGCTCAAGTTCGAAAGTGGTCTCAACTCATAACATAACAGTGAAACAACAAAACTGAAGTGAGTACAGAATACAAATGTTCTGAATTAAAACCCCAGGAACAGATATAGACTCACTCTGAAATGTGCCTTTACACTCCTTACCATTCTCATTACTTTTCAGCAGTTGTTTACTTTCCTCCAATTTCTGAACAGTGGTGTCCAGCTGCTCTTGTAAGTTTAAGGCCTAGAAAGTATAATGGTTTTAAAAGCATAAGTGAACCCAAACCACTTAATCTTCGCAAAGAGCATATCAAGAAAAAACTTATCATTAAGAAAAAGAAGTGTGCCAGTGCTAATACTAACTAACATTGTTCTGAATCATGCATTCTTCTCCATAACAATCCATATGATATGCATAAAACAGGTTGCAAGTTTCAAAACTATGATAACCTGCCCTCTATGAAGTTATGGTAAAATCTTGCACACTACAGGTACATTTTAATTAACTTCTTTGTATTTTTCTATGTGAAATACAAGTCCCAAACTGTATGCTTTTTACCTCTTCCTCTTTTTGTTGAAGAGCCTGTTTCACATTATTAAGCTCCAGCCTCTCCTTTTGCAGGATTTGCTCCCTCTCTCCTAGTATTTTTTCCTGTTGCATTGTCACTGCATTTTTTAACTTCATCTTCTCCATTAATTTCTTCATCTCTCCCTGGAGCTTTTTGATAATTTCATTAGCCTATAAAAATAAATACGATGAATGACAAAACGGTAGATAATATTGAACAAAACGTTTGCAAGAATCTTACTTTCAGAAGTTCCTCAGAAATGGACTTCACAGTTGTTTCAAGCTTCCCAATTTGCAACTGCTTCTTCTCCAGAGACTCTTCCAACTTTTTCTGAAAGGGAATTTTGGATTAATGACTAGCCAGTGTCAGCATAAACCAAAGCTGAAGCTTAGGTGACACTGATGAATAGAAGGCTCAGGGGATTAGTAACAGGACACAAAGCATTTTATTTCTAGGTCACTAACTAAAAAGCAGTGACGCTTGACAGGCTATACAGGAGTACTGGTTTATAAAATTCACACAAGGCCTGTGTTGTTAACCGATGACAGCCCAGTCGAGAAGGGACCTACTCAGAATAGCATGCCTACTGACCATCTCAAAATAAGCGGGTGACTTCTTGTATTTTTTCCAAATCCAAAATGACTTTGAAATTTGTTGTAATTTTCCACTTCCAGAATCTAATGATTGGAGAGTTGTCTTAAATTTCATCCTCCTCCCTGATGCTGCAGGAAAGATGCAGCACAGGGACAAGTAGAAGCAAAGAGAGGGGAAGCAGGCAGCCTGCCCACACCCTTTGCCTATCTGCCTAATCTCCCCCTTTCATTGCTTTCCCCATTGATCTGAGCCCAGGGGTGGCTCCAGAGCCACTCTTGCCCCAAGCTTCAGGGAGCCTACAACAGATTTCGGATTTTTCCTTCCCTGCCTGGTCCCCCTCCCCAGCTGGCCAGGAGCAGTTTTGATGGAAGGGTCTCTACATGGCAGTGCTCCCTGCATAGCTGCTCTCCGCAGCAAGGGACAGGAGGGACTCTGGAGCTCCCCCATGCCTGCTACAGCTGAATCAGACTCCAGCCAGGAGCCGAGAGGGGCTGCTCCACAAGAAGCCCAGCTGGCTAGAGATCAGAGCAGCAGCTTGAAGATTCTCCTTTCCCTGCCTGGCTCCCAACTTGCACAGATTTTTTTTTTTTTTTTTTTGGGGGGGGGGGGGAGGGGAGGCAAGGAACAGATGCTGATAACAGGAAATCTGCATGCTGCTGATGCCTTCCCTGCCCTAGCTGGGCTCCCAGCACAGCCACTTCTTACAGCTACCTGCTGTGATACTCAATTCTAAGATGAAGCTTTGTTTTCCCCATGATAAATGAGGAGAGAAAAGACAACTCATCTTGGAATCAAGTAAAAATTGTATACAAAGACATGACGATGAAGAGTCATCCTAGAAGTTCTCTGTATCCAAGTTAAGGTACACTAGCAGGGTCACATATGGAAATATATAAAATACTGCTGCTGCCTGCTCTATGAAGGGAACTTCAATTTCCAGAGCAATCAATGAGCACCAAATTCATGACCACCAAATTCAAATATACTTTCATTTTAGAAAGTAAAATTAAACCTGAAGTATTTAAAATGTTTTCAGAATGTGTGCTTGACAGTTCTACTTCTCCTTTAAGAAACTTTTGAAATATTGAGGAGGTGTATCAATGCACCTGCACGTGGATGGACATATGCTAACAAAAACAGGGTTATGTAAAAAAAAGCAAAAATCGTATTTATTATGACATTTCAAAGCCTTCTTACTCTTAACAGTTAAACATAACAGAAACATCTCTAGTACATGCAAGGTTACACTTATATGGAACAGTTTTTGAGAAAGGAGCTGCTATTCCCAACCTTGTGTTCTTGAGCACTTTCACAGACATCTGTGGTTCTTATCACTACTTGCTCTTTATCCTTCACTTCCTGTTCCAGGACAGCAATGCATGTCCTTAGCTGGTTTAATAATTTTTCCTTCTCATGACACTCTGCATCAAGAGTTGAATTTTCCCTTTGAAGAGAAAGAACTTCTTGTTTTATCCTCTGATATTCCTATTAAATTAAAAAATGCAGCGAGAAAACAAAAGAGGGCAATAAGTTTTGGCTTTAAAGCACTACGGAAGAAATTTAAGATGAGCAACCAAAGCAGTTCCTTTGGAGGACTGGAGAGCTGTAGCTGAAAACTACTGAAAAAACTGCAGGGTAAGTTCACTCTGGAGTGGTGTGATATACACTAGTGTCAGCCCATTCATCACATCATCTCCAATTTTATTAGAGAATAAAGTCAATTATTCCATAGTAAACTTGTGCATTTGCACCCTCCTCTCACTGACTCAGGGGGTACTTTGCAAAAACTCCTTACGCTTGAAGAAAGTTTCACTTCAGTTTAAGGCATTAACACATTTATACTTTGACTATAAGATCTTAGGTACTAGCACTGTTTTCTTGGATGTTTCTACTGCTACACGAATAAACAGTATTTTCTTAAGTTATACTTTTACACTAGTAATGATGTTAGGTTGTGTTGTTCGGGGTTTTTTGTTTTTTAAACAATCCCCAATTATGTGATGTTTTTGCAACTGAAGAACTGGCTGCCACTATTTGATGTAAATTGCTGTTAAAATTTGGTTTTCATTTATCAAGTCTGTCTTTTTCATTACGTGTGTATACATATTAAAAAGAGATTTGATCAGAACTTTTGCATTCTGTGTTTAATTAAACCATCTTTTGCCTTTCTGTCAAAAGCACCATCACTTGTGACCCTTCTGTGTAAAAGGGTGACACATAAAAGTAGACATATTCAAAGTTAATATAGCAAACTGGCAAAGTGCCAATATTGCTACTGTGCTAATGGAAGCTGTGGGCGTAGACTAGAGCTTGTAAGAAAATTGCATACAATTTGGAAAGCAGGTAAAAATGCAAACAAACAAACCATGACAAAAATTACACTGCAACTATGTTTTATAATTCAAAACAGTAATTTTCTTATTAAATCTCCTTTTACCATGTAAGCAAAGATCAAAATATTCTAAAATAAAAAGGACCGCCTATGGAATAACCAGTCCATTTAGAGTGAATTTTGTTATACAAAAATGGAAAAACAAACAAATGATCCCTTCCCTGCCCCCACCCCCAAAAAAATAAAAACCCAAACAAGTTCTTGATTCCTCTACAGATGACAGTTCTTCTGTATCAGCTTCAGAATAACTATAATCTATATTGTCACATTCTTTTGGTTAGTTTTGCTTCTTGGACAAGTAAATGCTTGTGAAAAGGAAAAAAAAAGATTTTCTTACTAATTGCAAACAAGTCTCTTTCTGCTCAATTAAAATTTAAACTAAGTGGAATAATTGTACATATGGCATGCATAATAACTACAGAGATAACATCCTGTTCAATTCACTGTAATGGAAATCTACTACTCTTGCTAATAGTATATAATGGCACCAAAATTAAAAGAACTAAATTAAATAGCAGGTAAAAATGTGGTGCCTTTGAGCATCTCATGCAATGTGGGGGTTGGTAGCAAGGAGACTCAGAACAAACATTTTTCTGAATGGAAGAAGCATTGTTGTTATGACCTTCATAAACACTGACCTTGCCATCTTATTATATGCGGTGTTACCATTTTACCTTAAAAGACCGAACAATACAAGTATTGGGTTTCTCATTTGGGTGCACTGTTATCTATAGCACAGCATGGAGATTTCAAAATACTAAATTAAGGGTAAGCAGAGTCTCATGAGCACTAGAGATTGAAGCTCTCTGACCTGAATGTCACACAGGCCACAGACAAGCATTATGTGTGTGTCAAGAAATACACCCCTTTCCCCAACACAAAAACCAAAGGCATCCGAGAATAGCATACGCATCCGAGAATTTTGTGACAAGACGAGATAGTGATTCTGCCACAAACTGTTAGCTACTTCAAAAGAGCAACTTCTTGGGAGATCAAAGTGTTCCCCCCCTTTCCCAAGGGGCAGGGAGGGAGGGAAAAAGTTGCTGGTTTTCTGATAGGTACCCTGAGCTCATGGCAGGATGAGCTAACACTACTGCCACCCCAGCCCAATCCCGGATGGACAGGAGCAGGCAGTCAGCAACTCTGTCCTGGACCCAGGGGTTATTGCCTGCCCGGTGTTCTGGCTTAAAAGCAGGACCCCCCAGCCCCATCACTGTGCTGCCATGGCTGCTAAAGCATGAGTTCCCCAACACCAACAGGAGGCAGTGTTGTGGCCATGGGCTCCAGGAACAGCCAGGTACCTGCAGGGCTGGGGGTCACCAACCAGAGCTGCCCCCCACCCTGCAGGATCCCTGGAGACATCCCCCCCACCCCTTTCAAACAGAACTAGGGCAGGACTGGGGAGCACAGGTACTGTTCAAAGGATCCCGTTACCCTAAATGTCACCAATGATTCCCAAAAAGCTAGCCCTCCCCTTGCTCCCTCTTTCCTGCACGCTCTGCAGATCAGTAGGGAGGAGGGGAGCTCACTTTGGAGGCATCTGGGGACTGCTCCAGCCAGAGGGCTGGAACACCTAGACATTTCCCTAGCTCCCCCACCCTTTTCTCACCATGCTTTGCTAGTGCTAACAATTTCTAGAGGTGCTATTTAGTGCAAGAGCAGCTGCTCTCTAACATATTCTTAAGGCTGCTAAGTGAATGCTGTTGCAATTATGCCATAGTGAAGTTTACCCTTCACAGTCCAAAACCCTGGGGACTATGATCATCAGAACCTTAAGCAAATGTTCAATATAATTAACAGATGAGGACAAAAGAATCACCATAACCTATATAACATGCAGCTGTGGGCAAGAGCAACCTCACATGCAAAGGTAATGGTGTGCATAATATGCTATGACATTCGGACAGGCATAGACGAAAGCTAGTCCCTAAAAGTCTCTTTTAACTAAACAAAATCTTTAGATAATATTTTAATTAAAAATACTGACCATCTTCACATAGAATTCAAAAGCTATTTACTAAGAACGTGCTTTCACAGGCAGAGGGGTTTTCCTCAATCTCCTCCCTACCCACCTGAAATGGAAGTTTCTAGAAACATATATCAGAAATTGAGGGGCAATAAATGCAACAGATAAAGCTTCGTTTTCTTCCTCCTCCTCCTACTCATCACCCAGCCTTCTCTAAGGACCATGGTGTATTACATAAAGCAAAGGTAAAACAGAAGTGGAAGGGAAGGGAAAGATTATTTTAATAGATTTATCTTCCATAGCTTTCTGAAGGGCAAAGTAACAGATCACTTCTGAAAGCTTTCATAGTTTCATAGTTGTTAGGGGCTGGAAGAGACCTTACAGATCATCAGGTTCAGCTCCACTGTACTTGGGCATGAAAGACTGCAGGGGTCAGATGACCCCAGCAAGATGGGCGTCAAGATGCTTTTTGAAGATCGCCAGGGTGGGTGACCACCTCTGAGGGAAGCCTGTTCCAAACCCTTAGTACTCAACTTGAAAACAAGTTTTTCTTTATGTCTAGTCTGAAGTGATCCTCAATCAGCTTGTGCCCATTATTTCTTGGCCTCCCCTGGGAGGCCTTGGTGAACAGATGCTCCTCCAGGCTCTGATGTATCCCCTTGATATACTTAGAGGCTGCCACCAAGTCCCCTCTGAGCCTTCTCTTCTCCAGACTGAACAGTCCCAAGTCATAGTTTGGGTCCTTCAGCCTCTCTTTGTATGAGCTGGTCCCTAGGGCTAGGGACAGACATTACACGAACTGTTTAAAGTGATCAGCAACTGGTTTAAACCTGTAATAGAACAGATGTTCAATGTACATAAACCACTTTGAAAATGGCCAAAACTGGTTTGAGATAAACCTGGTTGAATGTAGACTTAACTGATTTAGCTCAAACCAATTTATGCAATGTCTGTCCCAGACCCCTTGTTGGTTTAAGTTAAACCAGACTCCCCCAGCATCCTGGCATGCTCTCTGGGCTGGGTTGGGCTCTCTGCTCCTCAATTCCCCTCCCCCACCAGCCAGAGCTCCAGCAGACTTGCAGGCACAGGAGGGTTTGCTGGCTTCCCTGTGCCCCCCCTCCCCCCAACACACATCTGCTGTGAAATTTACCTAAATTACCTTGATAAAATTAGCCTTGTCCATCATGCCTCCTCCCTGCTTCCAGCTGGCTTCAACAGGTG